GCTTTATTTTAGGCCAGGCCTGGTGATGTCGCCTCCGGGAGCCAATATGGAAGACTCTGCAACTCACAGCTAAAGGGCAGGGCTTTTATCTTGTAAAACCGCACACAGCTGCTGGTCTCACAATGCAAGGGTGGGGGGGTGGGTTTGTGGTGCACTACAGAACAGGAACTTGGTGTTTACATTTCTTGGGAAGAGCAAGGTTCAGGTAAGGAATGGGCTATGAAAGCCGAAAACCACAGGTATGTTGCGAACTTTGACACAGTTTGATAGCTCCTGGGCTTCTTGGTATTTCCTGTAATTTCCTTGTAGTTAAACGTTTCTTAAGCAACAGCACATTTTATTACAGGTAGGCAGAAGGGGGTGGGGTTTTAAAGCTAAAAACCGCAAAGCTATCGACCTGTTTCAGATAACATTCTTGGTACATTCTGATGCTCTCTGCGGTTAAACATTTTCCTGGAACGTCACACCTCGCAGAAGCATGTGGAAGGGGGTTGGGGGATTTACAAGGAGCTGAAACTTAAAAGTCTTTACTGGAAATGGAATTTTAATCTCTATTGAAACGGCACATACAGAACACGAAGGAGGCGCATTGGTTAGAACTAGGCTACAACAGTTTACAGGTACTAGAGAAACTCATTGAAAAAACAGCCCAAGCCTCTTTATTTCATTTTGAGTAATAAAGGAACAAGCTATGTAGATACCTGAAGGAAGAGCCTTGCAGTCTTAGAGGAAAGTGTAAAACCTCTAAAGGTGATTGGTTGCCTTGTTTAAGGGAGGAGTGTAACTGAAGAAAAATGAATAGGGATAAAAGTAGTAGGGAACAAGACTAGAAAAGTGGCTTGGGGCATTGTATGCTGACTCCATGTTTTATTAATACAAATTACTGTGGTAATGGTGATGGGAAAACCTTAAAGGGTGAGGAGCAGAAGAATGATATAATTAAAATTTTATTTTAAAAGTGCTTTTCTGGGGGGCTGGGGATTTAGCTCAGCGGCATAAACTCCTGCCTTGCAAGCAGGCAGTGATGAGTTCGATCCCTAAAAACGAAAAAAACAACAACAAAAAAAGTGTTTTTCTGGCTGCTGTATGAGTACACGTGTTTGGCAAGCAGTAATAAAGCTATTTTGATAGTCCAGGCAAAAGATGATCGTTTGGATTAAAATTATGGCAATAGAAGTTGTTAGAGATAGTAGATTCTTTAGATATGTTCAAGGATTTGCAGATGAATTCTTTGTGATGGATACAGATACTGATAGAACAATCAAGATTCTTTGCTTGAATCAACTGAGTATATTTTTAGTGAAAGATTATTGGAAGAATAGATTTGAGAGAAAAATCTAGATTTCAGGGTTGGGCATGATGCATTTTAAATGAGTTTGTTATGTAAGAAGATATCTTAGTTGGAAATGTGATTCTGTAGTTGAGGGAACTAGTTGGGTTGCAGATGATTGGGAATTGAAAGCATGCAGATGGTAGTTCAAAGTAGTGAAACTAAAAAATGTAAAATAGGGAATGTTTGAGGGCTCAGGATATAGGTCAGTGACCTAGTGTTTGCCTAGCGTGCATGAGGCCCCTGTGTTCAATTCTCATTACTGAAAAACAAACCAAAACAACAACAAATAAAAGGAAAAAGCAGTAAATGAATAAAATCAAGAACTAAAGAGATATTGACTATTGATGTTAAGGGTACACCAGTGTTTAGAGCTCAGAAAGATGAGAAAATTGTAAAGAGAAGTAAGGTCAGTAATCAGGAAGTATAGGGGCAGTAGTATTTAGAGGTGAAGAAAATGATTTCAGTGTGGGTGTGGGTGGGGGATTGTTAGCAGTTTTGAAGTTTTCTGAGAATTGGAGTAAGGTGAAGATCTGTTATTAACATTTAGGTTTGATAGAGTAGAAGCCATTAGTAACCTTCCCAAAGTCAGCTTTGCTGTACATAAAATTAGTTGGAACTGGTTTAGGAGAAAATGGTAGCACACAATTTGAGTTTGATTGTAGACAACAATTTCAAGGGATTTTGCAGTAAATGGAACTAGAGATATGAATGCAGACTAAAGATTGGAAGGTAGGAAGATGAGGTAATTCTTATTATTGTTTCTGTTATCTTCATGGAATTAGAGGTGATGCTATTGCCTGAATAAAAGGAAGGAAGAATGGGTGTTTGAAGCTCAACAAGAAAGAAATAGGTGTGAAGCAATGATCTTAAGAGTGGGAACTGTGGATTAATTGTAGAGGGTTCATTTGAGATGTGTCATGAATTTAAACTCAAATAAGTCATCATTTTTAAAATTTTTTTATTTTCAACTGAACATTTACCTGCTTGGATGTAGGCTTCAAATCAGCAAAAAGGTGGGTTGGGTTAGAGATTTTGACTGATAAGTTCCATCGATGGTGAGGGACGCGCCAGGGAGTTGAGAATCTATATGTCAAAGCAATGATTATCATAATGTAGACAAGAAAGGAAAGTAAAGAAAGGTGGATAGTGGAAACACAGACATTAATAGATAAGGAAAATTGGTAGGGGCAATGGATTTGTTTCTGAAAATGCCAAAGAATTATATTGGGAAAAGAAATTGGAAGGAAAGGCATGCTAGTGTTCAGGGGTTTTGGAATATTTATAATTGAAGTTTTGAAGTGGTGGTTTTTATTAGGTAATTGTAAGATCAAGGGTATAATTGTGGGAATGAGTGACTAACACTAGTTACGAAAAAGATTTTTGGAAATGGAAGGGTCAAGGAACAGAAAGGGGCACACTCTGAGGAGTACTTCCCTGGGTCTTTGTTAGGGTTTATATCTGGCTGTCCCTCTAAAGCCTTATGCAGTCATGCACACAGACTTGTAGGGTTTATGACTGATTCATGGTCCAATACTGAGATTGTGGGTGTGAATGCTATACTCCCACTAGGGTGGGTAGACTACGTACAATATAAGGGATAGAAAGAGTTTTCTGTAGCACTCTCCTCCTTTTTTGTTTGTTGCTTTGGCTGTTTTCTGCTGCCGTGAATTTTTGCATCTGCCATGAGCCACCCTGCCCCGGACCCAACAGATTGTGGACTGAAACCTCCACAAACTGTTAGCTACATAAACCTTTTCTTTCTTCATTTTGGGTGCCAAGTATTTTGTTTCAGCAGTGAGAAAAAAGTACCCAACATAGAATTTGATACAAGAAGTGGGATCATTGCTGTTACTATATTGACCATGTTTTTCAAGAGCCTTTAGGGATGGCTTTTGAGAAGACTTTGAAAAGGTTCACCGATGTCACCTTAAAGAGCAGAACTGGAACACTTTAGGCTGTTCTGTATGGGAGATTCTGGTCAGAGCTGTAAAGACCAGAATACTGATAGAAATCTTGTCAGTAAAGAACACGTTCAGGAAGTTTCTTCTGGGAAGAAGGACTGCATTGGCTGCTGGAGTTCAGATGATGTATGTTCTGGCTTGGCAGAAAGTTTATGTGCATTTTGCTCATGTCTAGAGATTTTGCCTGAAACTAAAATTAAGACTGGTAGCCTAATTAATCTGGTGCAAAAAATTTTAAGGTAATTGAATGTTGAGATGGTGACATGGTTATTGTTGGCAGCTTTTAGCCAGATCTGTGTTGCAAATTAAGAGCAGAGAGCCCAGTAGGATGATTCAAAATGTGAGTTTGCCCAGCAAGGAAGGTTTACAGCTTTGAACCACAAAGATAGAGCTGAGAAGATACTGATTGCTGAGAAAGAACAAGAGATTATAAGAAGACAGCCCGAGGGTCTTATAAGAAGCAGCAATCTCCATCCTTTACAGCCTCAAAAACTGCAAAAGTGTAAGACTTTGCTTTGAGGAGAAAGCTGCAGAGCACCATGTTTCAGAATAACAGTAGCCCCATTATGTTCCACATTGGGCATGGTGGCCACACTAGATTCCAAAATGCCTGTGGTTGCATCAGGTTCAAGAATGGTGGCAGCCTAGAGAATTTGTTCCTCCAAATTGGATTCAGGGTGCTTAATGATTCAGGCACTTGAACCTGTAGCCAAGAAAGAAGAAAGCCTGGCTACTGCTCCCGCTGGCAAAAGACCAAGGTAGCTTGACTTATCGGTCAAAATATCTAATCCAACCCACCTTTCTGCTGATTTGATGCCTACATCCAAGCAGGTAAATGTTCAGTTGAAAATAAAAAAAAATTTTTTTTTGCGCCAGATTAATTAGGCTATCAGTCTTAATCTTAGTTTCAGGCAAAATCTCTAGACATGAGCAAAATGCACGTAAACTTTCTGCCAAGCCAGAACATATATCATCTGAACTCCAGCAACCAATGCAGTCCTTCTTCCCAGAAGAAACAGAGCAGATGCTAAAATCTTCAACAGATAAAAGATGTGATTTTGAGATCACAGGGTAAATATAGAAGCAGAAATAACAGGTTACATAGTCCTGGGTTCAAAGGACCCATAGTGGTGGGTTCAGAGGAGCTGAACTTTATAAAGACTGAATAAAAGTGGTTAGAAGAAATTCTAAGAAAGGGATGAGTTTGGGGATGAAGGGCAGGTTTTGTACTGTTAATGGAGAATGGTGTAACAGAGATAATGAAATTAGCTATTTGGGAGATGATCACTGATAATAAAGGCTTGCATTTTATTTTAGTGATACCTAGTAATGAAAGCAATGTAGAGTTGACTTTGGGTAAGGTTATATTTAGTAAACTCTGTCAAGTAGCAACCCACATCGTTTTATCTGATATAGAAATAGTGCACAAGGGTTCAGATTTTTCTTTCTACCTTTTTCTGGCTAGGTCAATAACCAGTAAGTTGAAGGATACATGAGTGCAGATTACTTGAAGAGCAAAAATTTGAAAGGAAAGGAAATGACTGAGGTCATTTGGGGATTAAATAAGGAAACCTTTTTTGTTGGAATTCAGTTAAGGAATTAAAATGAAAATCTGAACTTATACTTTCTAAATGAGTGGCTAAAGTTTCTCTTCTTTGTAGTTTGAAAAATTAACACTGATTTTCTTTTTTTTTCCCCTCCACCAGGGGAGGAAATCCTACCTAGTGAAATAATGAAACAGTTGACTGCAATCTCCAGAGAGGTGATGGATCTGGTTGAGCATTTTCCTGACACTTACAGAAAATTGGAAAATCCACAGAGGTTGTATATTGTATTTTTATCAGTTCTTTTTAAAAATTTTTATCAGTTCTGTTTGTTCTTATTCCTGTATGTGAATAATTTTTAATTTTTATCAGTTCTGTTTGTTCTTATTTTCCTGTATGTGGATAATTAACTGTTCATTAAGGTAGACTCATACATATATACTTGAATATATGCATACAGACTGATTTGTGGATTTTGGAAATCTGTTTAAGAGCAATCTTTAATTATTTTTATAGTTTGATCAGATGAAGTCTATAAATCAAAACAAGTTTTATATTTAGTAGCTTCATTTTTGGTGGGGCTACGCTTTATTTTACCTAGAGTACATTATTAGAACAAAAGACATGCAAAGCTTAGAAATTGTTTATAGCTAAAGCACTAGATAACTTGAGATATTTGGACCAAATATTCTTTAAGTATTAATAGCCCTTGGATTATGGCTCATATGTAGCTCACTCTTCTTGGGACCAGACCTTTCTCTGTTCTTAATTACTGAGTGATTTCTTTGTTAAATCTCTAAAAGCAGGAATGTTCCTGAACAAGTGAACAGATGCAATGTGATAATGTAATTCTGAGGCAAAGAATACTTTTTAGAAATGAGAAGTTAGTTGGATTAAAACTAATACATTATGTAGAATTAAATGTAATTCATATATCACTTTGTCATATAAGAAAATACAATGTTAATGTATTCTTTTTTGGATGATATTTGTTATGGATTTTGATTGAAAGATTTAACAAGGTGGTATTGAATTTCAGCTCTTTCTTAACATAATTTTTGCCCTCTACCAATTTGTTTAGTAATTTTTATGTAACTGAAAATTTTTAAAAGATGTAACTTTCAAATGGAAAAGGTATCAATAAGGCTGTTTCTTACTAATATTTTCATTTTTCTATGAAATTAGAAAAACCACCATTTATGTGATTTTTATGTGACATTTCAGAAATATGTACTAGCAATTAAAATATATACCTAGTGTAAATCACATATGATTTGCTTCATAATATCAAAGCTAAATAACATTTTCTTAATATGTGGGAAAGGAAAATACTGTGTCTTATAAAGTTTTAGTATATAGACAAGAACTAGTCAAATCTTTTGTTTTTTGCGTAAGTCTACAGTAAATCCTAACATATTTAAATTATACCTCAGAAACTTAGGAGAGAACAGAAAAGATCTTTGAACAGTCCCATTATATGCCATAAGTTTCAGACTCACTTTCTACATTTCCAGTGGAGTGCACGAGGACACCTTCAGAGTACTTTTGACTTTTTTATAGATACAATTTGAGAAGTTTGGGTATCTGATTAAAATGAAAATGACAGGAGTTAAGTAGTGAAATGTGCATGATAGCAGCTGGAAGTGACATCTGGCAATCTGTGAAGGAATGGGCTTTTGTTTTTTAAAGGGGAGTGTACCAGGGATCCCAGGAGTACATCCTTATCCTTTTTATTTTATATTTGGGACATGATCTCATTAACTTTCCTAGGTTGGTCTTGAGTTTGAGATTGTCCTACCTCTGCTTGCCTCATAACTTGGATTATAGGCATATACTGCCTTGCCTGTGTCAAAGAACCAGGAACTCTTACAATAGAGCACTTTTAGGTTTACAGAAGAATAGCTTTATGCTTATTGGACTCAGAGAGTTCACTGAATATAGTATTGCTTAATCATTGATTTAGATTCAGTATATATCTGTTGTTCTCTTGTCATTGTACATTATATTCTGATAAGAGCTAAAGCTGTCTGCAGTCAACTGGTATACCTAATAATAATCCTAAAAAAAGTAGGAAATGTTCTCTGTGCCTCATTGAAGAAAGCAGGAAAGCCCTTGATATTTGTTAAGAGTGAATATTAGGTATCTTAGATGAAACATGTCATCCTCTAATGTTAGTGAAGGATAAATGAATTCTTAATAACTTTGTGGGTAGATCTGTGCCACTGTTGCTGTGTTTATATGTCAACAGCATTCTCTATAGAGGTAATGAACTGTCTTCCTACCAAACTACTGTATGTACAAGGTTCTTTTAGTTAAATAGCTGTGTATAATGCTAAATATTCTTTATGATTTACAAAATTTTAAAATACAAAAACTGTGGTTTTATTTTTTGATATTTTAATTTTGCTGTTGGTTTTGTTTGTGTTAATGTGGATTTGCGACTTAAACTTGAGCTCATCTTGGAATACTGTGGAAATAACTCTTGAAATGACCCGGCTTATTGATAGTTTATTAGCATGTCATAGCAGATCTTTATTTGAATCATTAGTATAAAATTTTAAAAAGCTTTTCAGATTTTATTATTGATTTTAAATACTGAAAATTTAGAAAACCTAGAAAGCAATAATTGCATGGTTAAATATGTCTTGCTCCTCATTGTACTCCCTTTACCATCTCTAATTTAGGATTTTATGAAGTACTAAAAAATTGCTTTAATGAGACCTATAACTAGTAGATAAGATAGTGTGTCTTATTTTATATTCTAGAGTGGTTTTCCATTATGATTGATCAGGGTTAGTGACTGTGGTGTTCTGCCACTTAATGGCATTTAGTTAAAACATTGCATATTTATTTATTTATTTTTGTCTTTTTGAGACAGGGCCTCACTATGCAGTTCAGGCTGGCCTTGGACTCACTTTGTAGCCCAGGCTGGTCTTGAATTTGCAACTATCCACCTGTGTCAGCCTCCCAAGTGCTGGGATTCCAGGCGTGTACCACAACGCCTGGCTTTTAATTTTGTATTTATTTCTTTATTGAAAACATTGCAGCTGAACTAAATATAATTCATATGCCATTTTTTCATATGAATGTTATATCTTCTCATTTGTTTTATTTGCCTACTAATGGAAAAGGTTTTTTTCATGTTTTAAAGAATATGTGTTCATTTTATACATTTTTGAAGACATAAAACTATCGTTTTCAAAGTACAGTGTAAAATCTGTTGCCTTTGAGACTTTTCAGTAATGAAAAGTTAGGTAGAATATTGGATCATAATCTGTTTCTTTTAACTGAACATGTTTATACTGGCTGAGACCGCTGGCACCAGCTTATATGTGGGCATAACCTATCATCCTGACAACTACTACAGCGCCCACCACGACACCTCTCTCCAGCAGGAAGCAGTCTAAGATGAACACTACCCCTGCTCACCCATAAATCAAAAAGATGAGAATGACAGATTCTGCTAGCTTTGGGCTTAAATATCTGTAACATGACATTCACCCAATTTGGTACTGGACCCAGAGAAGCAACTTAGCTCTCTAAGAGTAACTTCTGTGTTCTCCTTATTTCAGAGATAAACCTCTTGCTTCCTTTTAGCGCATGTGCTGAGCCCTCCCGAATCCCAAGACTCTACAACTACCTAAGCCTCCAGCCCAAACCCCAGTAAATTGTTGTTTCCTGCTTTGCACAGGCAGATGCTCCTTCAAATCAACTGTTAACAGTCATTTTGCCCACCTTCCAAATTCCTTCCCCAGCCAGAACTGATAAAAGTAACTCCACTTATTTGTTCTTGCTGAGAGCATTTATATTTCTTTTAACTCTCCTGTGCCCACGTTAAAGGCCTCTCTGATCTTAGCCTTCTCTCTGTTTCTCTGCATACCTCAGACTGAGTGATAAAATACTCAAACAATATTAATCTGTGTTCTAAACATTTTGATCCACATCGGTGCTTATTTATTAAATGTAGACTGCTGATTGGAATGTATCTTGTTTAGACTATATTCATGTTGTTTACAATTTCTACTTAGTTTCTTTAAAATGGAATGAAAAATTATGACATTTGAAGCAATCTGAATGGAGAGTTCTGAAATTTTTGTAACTTTTCTCTATACTTTTATACTTACTTTGGCTATGGGTGATCAAATAACTTTTAAAATTTATTTTATTTTATTTTTTTTGGTACCAGACATCGAACTCACGACCTCACGCTTGCCAGGCAGGTACTGTGCCACTGAGGTGTATCCCTGGTCCTCAAGCAACTTTTTTTAAAAAGGAAATGTGCTAAATCTCTCCAGTGTGTTCAGTGTCAACTTTTATATTGTTTGTTACATGTCATTGATTTACTTTATGTTTAATTAAATTAATTGCAAAAAATAATATAGCTGGTATGAACAGTTTGGGATCAAATATGACTAATTCTGTGTGAGCATGCAAATCAATGCTTGAATGCAGAAGTTCCTGCCTGTACTAGAGAGTAACTATCAATTCTTATCATGAGGCATTAGGAAGGAAGAACAGATATAATCCAATGAGCCTTCTAAGCGGTTGTAAAAACCTTTTATGTATTAAAAAGCTTTTAAACTTGTCCTTATAGTTAATGTAATTAAAGTTTAATCTTCTTAAAAATTTTATAGGGTTCCTATAATATTGAAGAATATTTCAGAAAATCTATATTCACTGAGGAAGATGATATTTGCCTCTGCTGATGCTGAGCCTGAACTGAGGTCCCACAAGAATGTTCACTTGCTATCATTGGAGGATTCAACTGGTGATGGACAACAACAGGAACAAACTAGAAAACAGAACAGTTTTACCAAAGTTAAAGCTGAAACACGAGACACAACATTTGACAGTTTAATTAAACACAGTGGAGAAGATGTACTTGGAAATGCAGTGAAACAAGAGGATGATGGCTTTGAAGATGGAATAAATGACAGAGAACTGAAAGAAGATATGGAAAGAGCTTGTTTGATGTCATTAGATATTACAGAATATGACCTCCAAATGTTGGAACAGCAGGCTCAAGAAACACATTCCCGTAATGTTTCTTTTCAGTCTGCTGAGGTACTAAACAAAGTGAAGACATACTCTTTACCTTCGTAGTAGGGGCTAACTTCTGTAGAGGCATATAGTAAATAACGTAAACCTTGTGGGACATAAACTTTCTGCCTCACACTGTCCATTGCATCTTTGTAGTGTGAAAACAGCCTTAGGCAAATGTGCCTTCTGTTTTTCAGTAAATCTTATCTACAAAGACAGTCAGTGGACCATGTTTGGCTTATGAGTCATTGTTGGCCACTCCTTACTTAATATAATAAACAGCATTGTAAAATTCTGTAGTGTTAATAGACATTTATTATGTTACTGTTTTACAATTTATTATGCTTTCTACATAGTAGATATGTCTGCTTTTTAAAAATTCTTTGCATATATGCTAATATTCACTTTTTACACTTGATTCTTTGGAGGCAGCTTTTATTTGCTCACACAGAAATTCTTGTTAAGATGAGAGGATTTTTTAAAAACAAATACTTGATTTTTTGCTTAATACTAGTTGTTACAGTCATCTGGAGAGTAAATAACTTATTTTTTTCTTAATTTCTAAATTTTACTTGTTTTTTCATTAGTAGAAATTAATTAAGATACTCATTTTCTAGAATTTTACATTTTCTTGCAATAAATGTTTAGATTTTGAAAGCCATTTTAATAGTATTATTTTCTCATTTTTTTTAACAGAAACAAAATTTCTAATGGAGAAATTTTCTGTTTTGGTAATCGTATTAGTAACTCTTTCCATTAGTCTGTGAATGCATTTTGTTTTAAAATTGTTTACAAAATACTCTCAAAGCATTTGAAAAATAGGTTCCCTCTTCATTAAGTCTCTCTTTTGCTAACATCTGTGTTACACTTTAATTTTCCAAAGATTTCTTGTTCGATATATACATTCAAAATTATATATTTCATGTATAGAATTATGATCATGATTTCATAACTTACCTTATAGACCAGTTACTGCCATTTATTAATGATAATTAGTAGCATTTTTCCTTTAGTCACTAAAGACCTTATCTAAAAAGTAAGAGAATTTCTCTCTGTAAAAACTTTAAACTTTTTTTAACCTAACATTTGCGGATTAAGACTATATTTCTTTATCTTCTTTCATTTTAAGTGTTAGGCATTTTGGGGGGCATCTTTTTTGGGTTATGAATTTCTTTGTGTGGATTTGCATGCTTTTGGGCACTTACTTCCTGAAGCTTGGCAAATTATTAAGATTCCTCATACCCAAACTTATGTAACAGACTAAATAAGTAACGTATCTGACAATTTCTTAAATTTATGTAGATGCTGTTTGTAAATATTTATCTGTTCAAAGATAGGCAGTCATACCAACTTTAATTTTTAAATCAGTTGCTCTAAAAAACAATTACAGTTCTTGACTTTTTTTATGGTACTGGGAATAGAATCTAGGGTCTTGGCATTGAGCTACATCACCAGCCAGTTTTATTTTTTATTTTGAGATAGAATTTTACTAAGTGGCTAAATTGCCCAGATGGGCTCAGACTTGTTATCTTCTTGTTGCAGCCTCCCGGAGTGCTGGGGTTATAGGTGTTTATCACCACCGATAAAATTTTTTTTCAACATTTGATATTGTTTATCCATAGTTGAACTTTTAACTTTTTGCTCTAGAGTAGGAATTTTATTTCAAGTCTGTTAAGCTAAATTGTGTAAGTTTTTAGCTATCTTTCTTTCCCTTTGGTTCTTGGTTTTTCTGGGCATTCCTTCTTCTTCCCACTTTTCTTCTGTCTGTCTTATAAACATATAAATATGATTTGTACATTTATCTATTCAGAGAAGAGGAGAGATGGCTTAAGATAGGTAGCATGGTAAACTTTGTTTTGTGGAAAAGAGGGTAATGAATTACTGGAAATTAATTTTGAAATAATTTTTTTTAAAGCATTTGTCTCTGAATGATAATGAGCAAGAATCATCTTATATAATTGAAAGCGATGAAGATTTAGAAATGGAGATGCTTAAGGTATATTTAAAATTATTAAAAATTACTTCATGTTTTTTCCAAAAGACATTTAATTGAAATATTACTTAATTGTAGACTAGATCCCATCACAATATTACTTCCAATTATGTAACTTTTTATTTCGTTATGTCTTTATATGGTATATGAGTAATATTTTATAAGTAGCACACTGATTTTTGCATACACATTTTGTATTCATCACTTTGCATACATCACTTTCTTTTAATTGTTTTCTGGAATAGAAGCAACATTAAGCCCTTCCATATCGACATTGGTTTCCCTTCTCATCCATATATGTCCTTTTTTATTCATTGTGCTTTTATATATTCAATAATCATTACACTCTTTGGTGTCTCTTACTATGGATTTTAAATATTTTGTGTAGTTTTCTAACAGTTATATCATTTAATTTTACTGTTTTGTTATGAACACTAATGTAACTTATTGTAATGTAAAAAATGTAATTTATGTATTTTTACCCCTTTATTTAAGCTGTAGCTTGTCAGATGTTATAAACCAAAAATGAACAGTAAAAGCCATGTTGGGAATGTAGCTGTATGTTAGTTGGTATTTAGTATCAGCAACATTTTGGATTCAATTTCCAATGCTGAAAAAAAACCCTCAAAAAATCCACTTTAGCCAAATTAAATGAAGAATGGAGGAAAACACAAATGAGTCATTGTGCATACTTTTTAGTTCTTATCTTTGGGTCGATTGTGATTTTTTTTTTCTTTTTATGAAGTGAGGATAATTTCTTGATTCTTAAGTTTTGAGGCCTAGTTGTAGCTGTTACAGTTACAATTAAGAATATATATAGGCTCTGAATTTAGATGTGGGTTGAGTCTTTCCTTTTGCTTTATTGACCATGTGACTTTTCTTATCCTTTTTGAAGCTCAGTTGTTATTTAAAGAATCTTTGGGAACTTAGCATAGAGCCTGGCATTGAGTTAAATGTTTATTAAATATAAGCTAATCACAATTCCTTTATTGAGTTAATCATTTCTCTGAGGAGTCCTATTCCAAGTAGTGTATTGACAGAATGCTTGTGGACTTCTACATAGAATATATAATGAATCTCTTAGAAGGAAATGTGGTCACCAGTATTAGGTTTATTTTATAGTGCTTTCTAAATACGTTTGTAGTCTTGAATAAAAAAATTAGAAGCAGAATTACATTTTGTTCTCTTTAGGCCTAAAATGAGTATACTTTTTTTTAATTCTGAAATTTAAAACAGTAAGGTTTAATGAAAAGAGAAAATGAGAACTATGTCTTACCAAAGTTTTTCTTATCACTTTTTAGTAAAAAGTGTATAGATAAAATCGAAATATCCTAACATTCTTGAAATAATCTTTTGTTGGGAGAGAAAACCAAGTAAGATAAAGCCAAATTAAAAATGAGTAATTTTATTTCACATATGTAATACTCTTTTCCTGAAATTTTTTGAATCTTGTACCTCTTTTTGGACAAGTCCAGAACTGTACTTATTATTTGCTTGTAGTTTAAACCTAATCCTTACTCACACTTTATGTAACACTTTACATAACTCTTTATGTGTTACGTAAAGAAACTCATTACAAAAAAAATTGAAACCTAAATTCATCACTTGGGAATTGAAAACATTGTACAATAGAGAAAAAAAATTTTAAATTACCCAAATTCAAAATTTATGATAGATTTCCCCAGGGCAGTTCATTATATGGTATTAATGAACCTTGTTTATTTTGGAAGTATCCCATCTTTGGCCTTGTGCCTTGAAAACTATTCTGGAGTGCATATTTATAGAGGAACACACATGTTCTTTTGTGGTATTGCTTGTACAGCTGCCAGCTTTGAACAAAATTGTAGGCCGTGTTAACAATAACCCTCTTGTGTTTGGTGAAAAAGATATAATACTGTCAGTGGTTCTCCTTTTACAATTTCTTTTAAACTTTCAGTCTTTAGAAAACCTAAATAGTGATGCTGCAGAAACAGATCATTCTAAGTGCTCAGAAACAGAAAGAAATGCCTGTTTTCCTGTTGAAGCTGATGAAGATAAAAATGAGAGCATTGATGAGGAAGAAGAAGGTGAGGAAGGTAAGCCATGAAATGTTTGCTGTGACTCACCTGGGATACCTACTGCACCCTGTAGTTTATGGTCTAGGTATAAAGTGTTTTCAAGGTTAGGGACTGTGACGAATTTAATTAATTTGTTATTAAGTCCTGTAAACTTCCTGTAAAGTTCCTTAATGCTGTCCTATTTATCAAGCACAATCTTACTGTATCTGAAAATAAGTATTGAAAATCTCTGTCATTCAGTGAATCTGTAAAACTTTTCATTCTGAATTATAAATTTTGTTTTGGTCTTAATTGTAGTCACGAAATCATTTAGTGAATATTAAAAAGATCATTGCAAAGGACATGGATATGTAGCATTCGTTTTACAGGAGCTTATTAGTTAAACAAATAATATATTTTGAAGGAGCAAAATGGCCTCATTTTTAGGTTTTATGTTAATATAATAAAGGATGCACTGAATTTTTTATTAAGTGAAAAAATTATGACAAATCAGAGAATCTTTATAAAGTAGAACTCATTTTAGGGTAAGACTTCATCATTGACACAATGTGCAATTAAACAGTGTATAGTGTGGAAAATATATGAATATATTGATAATTGGCCTCTTCCTTTTCTTATATTAAATAGTTGTAATTTGTCTGAAACTAGTTTTGTATTTAAAAGTGGTGAAGTTGAGAAGTGTAGTAATGAGCTTTAAATTATTTAGTGATGACATTCCTTTTTTGCCCTTCTTTTGCCACTCATGAATTTTTGGACCTAAACATGGACAGTGAAAATCATGTGAGTAGAGGTAACATACTAGCTCTGCTGTACTCTGCAGTTAGAATTCTTGTCAGAATTTAGGTAGGTGCATTTGGCTAACTGAATTGGATTTAGTTCATTAAATTGATTTAGATAAGTTTAGTTAACCAGGCTTAGGTAACTAAAATGAAGATTTTGATTTTGTGACATTGTCATATCTGATTATCATTAATTGGAAGTCAGCTATATTATTAAATTGGATTGGTATATTACTATTTCATTCTAGAAGTAAAAATCTAAGAAGCATAGCTGATTTTCTGAGTATTTTATGGTGCTGGTAAAATGTGAACTATAATGAAATTTTAAAATTTAATAGTAGTCTTAGGGTCATGACTAATACTCTGAGCATCAACTTGGGTTAAAATGAAAAGAAAACAGTAACTTCTGTTACTTACAATTATATTTTTGTAAAAAAAAAGCCAATGAAATAAACTTTTTTCCTTCCTTTTATCTAATGTATTTCTATTTGAACATAAATGTCAATTTCATTTTTTTAAGACCATTTTTTGCCAGAACCCAATGCAAAACAAGTTACTTGCCTGAAGACGTATTTTGGCCATCATAATTTTAAACCGTGAGTATAATCTCAGTTAATTAAATTAAATATTTTAGTATTTTTTTCATAGGGGAAAAAAGATAAATGTTTTATTCATTGGTAGCAATGTGATATCATTAGAGTCATATTTTCCACATTGTAATTCCTATAAGTGATTACAAACTTATTTGATATACAATTTATTTCTGCAAATCATGTTTATAAGTAAGGAGTGCTTCTTTGTAGAAACTAAAGATATTAATGAATTTCTGTTTGACGCTGGTTTATTTTTCATTAAGTATCTGTGTACCTGTTTTGTGTGTTATATTTTCCAAAGCTAATAGAAGTTTGTAAGATGGTGGTTTCAGGAACAATGATAATTCATTTAACATAAGCTGTATTACATCTAAAGGACATATTTATAAGTACAAATAAATAAAAATGAGATGAAGAAAAAGTAAATTTGCATAAAAGTAGTAAGAATGTAAAAATTTAAATTTTTCCACTTTTAAGCATTTTAAGTTAAGATAAACTCCATTGAAACATTTCTTTCCTTATTGTCTTGATCGCATTCATCATAGAGGATTTGTAGCTGTACATGGTATAATGCTTCTTTTCATTCTCTCCATTAGCTTAACCTCTCTTCAACCCCTCCTTCCCTCCCCGTTTACAAAAGCTTTGTGTCCATTTTTTTCTTCTCAGTTTTTCTACTTTTTCTTTCTTTCCTTTCACTCCTTCCCCCTTTCCTCTCCCAAATTACCCTCCCCATTTGAAAATTTTTTCCTATTTCACAGTACCTATTACACATTTTAGTCCTTATTTACAGGTTTAGTTTCTTACATCAGAAACAGTTGATATTAACATGTTTGTGTCCAATTTATTTCACTTATGAATATGGTCTCAAGGTGCATACATTTATCTAGAAATGTCTTGAGATTATAAGAAAATTTTCTAAAGTGAAAGGGTTTTAAAATTTTATTAGTATATGATTGCAGTACATAATGATTATACTTATGTGGAGTTGGTACATACATTACACATCTTATTTTTTTCTCTTTCCCTCTTCTAGGTGTATATCCATCACTTAGATTCTGTTATTTATATTTTACTGTGCTTGTTTTACCACATGCCCATCTCTCCATCAGTCTGTTACTCTGTCAGAATATTAAAATGCATCTCAGGGTCAATTGTGGACATCATTGCACTCCCCCTAAGTACTCCAATGTATAAATTATTAACCAGAGTTAAATATTTATGTGTAATGTTTCTTTTTGTAAAATTAGCATATAAGAAATGTACAAATCTTAAATGAATGTTTGCATATCTCAAGTATACAAGCACACACCCACATATCTTAAGTCCTTATCAAGATACAGAACATTACCATTACTCTTTTTTTTTTTTGTCTTTTTCCTTTTTATCGGTACCAGGGATCGAACTCATGACTGCCTGCTTGCGAGGCAGGCACTTATGCCGCTGAGCTAAATCCCCAGCCCCTTACATTACCATTACTCTAAGAGTTCTCTTGTTTTAATCCTATAGCATTTCTCTTAATAAATAATCGATTCTTTTGGATATCTAGCATGAAGCTTGAAACTTATTTTATACTGTAACTATATGTAATAAAGTTTAATACATACAATGAAATGTAAACTCCTAATTCTACATATTTATTTATTTTTGTCTTTTTGAGACAAGTTCTTGCTATGCAGTTCAGGCTGGCCTTGAACTCACTTTGTAGCCCAGGCTGGTCTCAAACTTGGAATGATCCTCCTGCCTCAGTCTCGTGAATGCTGGGATTACAGGCATGTGCCACCATGCCCAGTTTAGACTTCTAATTCTTTAGCTAGCCTGAATGGGAAGTTGATTATTGGGGATTCTCATTGTAAAGTGCTAATATGTGTATATGTTTATATAAGAAATTCAGAATTAGAAATGAAATTCTGTTAGTGGAAGGAAAAAATTAGATGAGTTTCAACTTACCATTTGAGTTTGTCATTAATAAAACAAAATAGCTTTTTGCTTTTTACCTTCAAGGGTTCAGTGGAAAGTTATTTATTCTGTTTTGGAAGAAAGAAGAGATAATGTTGTTGTCATGGCAACTGGTAAGTAATATTTAAGTGAAAAACCTAATCCTTCAAAAAATAAAACATAAAGGGTTTAAAGTGCTTAACCTTTCATTAAACTCTTAAAATACAAATATATGTGGTTTGAAATATAGAAGAGAGTGAACATGCTGAAATTTATGCATGAAATAGCTTTTAAGAAGATGGTATATTAGTACTGATGATGCAGCCATACAAGCACATGTTAAGAAGATGTTGTTTACTTTTTATTTTTGTGAGTGTATTATTTTTCCTTTAAGGATATGGAAAGAGTTTATGCTTCCAATACCCACCTGTGTACTTGGGCAAGATTGGCATTGTCGTCTCACCTCTTATTTCCTTGATGGAAGATCAAGTGCTGCAGCTTGAGTATGTAATGCTTTCCTTGCCACATCATTGCCCTCTTGCTTTAGTCTATAAGGAAACATCTGATGAATCATGTGCTAAAATTTAGTTTAAAGTAACATTTCTGCAAATGGTGTTTTATTTTTACTACTAATAAATAACACTTTCGTGAAAGATACTACATTATTCTTTTCTTTTCTGTTGCTGGGTATGAAACCCAGGGCCTTGCACATATTAGGCAAATGCTCTTTCACTCACCTGTGCCTCCAGCCCTTAACTTCTCTCTTGATTTCTCTATAAATCATAGTTATCAGGAGCCCTTGATAAAATTTTCTAAAAATATTATTTTTCCAGTTTACATTTATTATCTTAAAATTTGTTACCTGTACTTCAGTTTGGTATCAAATACATACGGAGAAGTCTATTTTTTAATCTCTAAAGAACTTTTTATCTGCTTCAACCCAAGTTATCAATGAAAGACTTGACTTAAAAATTTGCCTGGCTGTTGAGGGACTTTATCAACTTAGTGAGATGCAAAAGGAGAGTAGAGCATTGTAACTTTTTATAAATTTAAAAAAAATTTTGTTCTCAAAAATGAAATTAACATTTGTAATGTGAACATTGCTCTGGAATATTTGTTGTTCTTGTTATAGAATGTCCAACATTCCAGCCTGTTTCCTTGGATCAGCACAATCAAACAATGTTCTAGAAGATGCTAAATTGTGAGTAAGTTACTCAGGTGACTATGGCATATGAGAGAATTCTATGCAGAAATACTTTACTTAATGCATGACTAAAATGCCTATGATTTGAGTGTACATTATACTACATAGTGTAGTTTTAGCATGTTTCAAACATAGAAGGCTCTGTTATTCTTAGTTCCTGAGCTGTAAGATTAACATTGTAGTCATGGATGTATAAAAGTTTGATTTTGGTGACTGGAGTGGGAAAGGTAGGGAGAGAGGAAAGTTATTAGTAAACTTTGTAGATTTAAGAATAGAACTCAAAGAATATCTAGATTTGACTGTTTTTATTCATGAGGGTCTGAAACCCAGAGGCAAATAATTTTTCCAAAATCTCTCAGTGAAATTTTGACTGAGCAGGGACTAGACCAGTGATGGTGAATCTTTTAGAGCTGTCAGTAATAATAAACAGCTGGCTGCAGTATGTCTGTCATAGGTTTGCCACCACTGGGCTAGACAGTCCTTTTCCCACCAATTTTGTCATGATGGAAGAAGAATATAATCTTAAATACACACTAAAAATATGTGTATATAGATACACGCAATGTATGTGCATATTAATATATGCATATATGCATATGTAAATACATACACATGTGCACATGCATTTAATAAGTTTTGAGAAATGCACACAAATATGTAACCCAAACCCCTATCAAGATGTTGGTGTGTTACTGTGGCTCTAAGATGTTCCTTCATGTCCTTTCCCATCTATCTTTCTCAACTTGTATCCTGAAGCAAATCAGTGCTTCTTAAGTTTTTCTACTACTGTGTAATTTTTACTATTCTAGAATTTCATGTAAATGGAGCCACAAAATGAACTTTTTCCTGAAAGACTTTCTTATTTAGCATAATGTCCTTGTTATTCCTCTGTATTGTTACATGTGTCAGTAGTGGGTTTTTTAATGAATGTACTATAATTTGAGTATGAATGTACTATAGTTTGTTTTCACATTTCCTCATGGATAGATGCCTAGACTATTTTTAATTTTGAGCTATTAGTAAGGAAGCTGATATTAACATTCCAAAACAGTCTTTTTGTAAACATATGTATTGTATATTTGAATATTTTAATTATCTTTATTGAGGTACAATTGACATACAATAAGTTTTGCATATTGAAAATATATAGTGTGGTACATTTTAACATATGTATGTATCTACAGATCCATCATCAAAATTCAGATAATGAACATAATCATTACCTGCAAAGTTTACTAGTACTTTTCTTGATCCATTTCTTCTTTTTTCTCTACTTTCCCACCCCAGTTACCAGGTACCTGTTAGTGTGTTTTTCATCGCTATAAATCAATTTGTGTTTTCCAAAATTATATATAAATCGTGTTAATCATACACTACATGTTTTTTCTTTTGTCTAGTTTAAATAATTAGCATATTTATTTTGAAATCTATCCATAATATTACATTTATTAATAGTTCATTCCTTTTATTGGCAAGTAGAGTACATTACATGGATATGTTATAATCTGTCCTTTTGCCTGTTAATAGATGTTTGGAATGTTTCCATTTTAGACAACTAAAGATAAAATGACTCTGAACAATGTAGTTTCGTTCATTCGTATACACAATTTATTTTTTCCAATTAAGGTAAAATTGACATATCATAAAATTTACCAATTTTACTATTATTAACATCTGGTAGCTTTTAATGTGTTAATAATGTTATATAACTGTTATCACAAATTCCAGAACATTCCATTATCCACAAAATTATTGACACCAATTAACCAGTCACTAGTAGTTATTCCCTCTTCTTTTCCATTCCAACCACAGTATATCAGTGTTTTTTTTTTTTTTTAAATCGGTACCAAGGATCAAACTCATGACTGCACGCTTGAAAAGCCGGCGCTTATGCCACTGACTTAAATCCCCAGCCCCAGTCTGTCAGTTTTTATGACTGAATAGTATGCTACTGAATCAGCATTTCACATTTTGTTTATCCATTCATTAGTGCCACACTTGGGTTATTCTTTCTTGGATTTTAGGAGTAATAGTGCTTTGAATATTTATGTACAAGTTTTTATATAAACATGTTTTGCAGTCCTCTTGTGTATAAGTTAATGAGTGGAATTTCTGGGTTATATGATGATTCTGTATTTAACTTTTTAAGAAATGTCAAACTTGTGGAGGGTGGTTTTACTATTTTATACCCCCCCCCCCAGCAGTATATGAAAGGTCCAATTCTGCCCCATCCTTGACATTTCTTGGTGTGGTCAGTCTTTAACTTTAGCAATTTTATAGCAAATTTAATGATTTTAAGTTTAGCATTGTGTGTTAAACTTGCTTTTCCCTACTAGTTATGTTGCATCTTTTCTTATACTATGTCATCTCTATATCTTGTTTGAGGAGGTGTCTTTTCAAATCTATTGTCCATTCGTTATTGGCCTTTTTTTCATACTGAGTTTTGGTAGTTATATATTCTGGATATAAATCTTTTAGTTTATCTATGTTTTGCAAACCTTTTATCCTAATTCATGGCTCCTGTTTTTACTGTCTTAACAGTTCTTTTAAAAAGCAATAGGCTTTCATTTTGATAAAGTCTAGTTGATTAATTTGTTGTTCTATGGATTTTGCTTTGATGTTTTAAGAAATCTTGGCTTAGCCCAAGGTCATAATGATTTCATTTTTATATTTTCTCCTACAAGTTGTGCAGTTTTATATTTTACATTTAGACCTATGAGTCATTTAAATAAATTTTATATGTCATCTGAGATATTGCTTGTATTTTATTTTTCACATGAGATTGTCCAATTGATCCAGCTCCATTTGTTGAAAAGACTATCCTGAATTGTCTTTTTATGTTTGTAAAAAATAAATTATATATACTTTGTACTTTTAGCTATGTAGAAGGCTGAGGCAGGAGGTTAAGAGTTTGAGGCCAGTCTGGGCTACTTACTGATACCTTGTGTCAGAAGGTCCCTTGCTGTTCTGTTTTCTGTTACGTAGATCCATTCCTCAGCCTTGTTGTTGCTTCCTTACTGGAGCCTTATTAAACCTTTAGGTCAGGCAGTAGAAATCTCCAGTTTTGTTCTTTTCTTTTGAAATTGATTAGGATTTTTTGGGTTATTTTTATTTCTAAGGATTTCACAACACCTATTGAACCAAAATTCCTACTACTATTTTGATTTGGCTTGTCTGGAATCTATATATCTAATGAATTAGCTGCCGTGATAATTATTATCGCTGTCTTATTCTTAAGAGACTGTGGCATGCTAAAGTTAATTAACTTGCTTAAACTTACTTGGCTTGCTAGTGTTAGAACTGAGTTTCAAACCTGGGCAATCTGATAGCAATGGTGTTTTTGTATTTTTTCCTAGGTTAATTAGAAAACTTAATTTCTGGGAATTTTTTTTATTAATGGATTTGTAGGGAAAGTACAATACCTAGCATAGAGTAGACACTCAAATATTTGTTTGAATAAATGTATTCATTATTTTAAAGTCTTTTTGTGTAGAACATTATTTTATCTGCTCTGTCTTTAGTAGAATGGAGAAAGACATTTTATATTTTGACCTAGTTTTTGTAACAAATATCATCTTAATAACTACTCTGTCTTCCCAGAATAGAAATTAACTTAACGTAGTTTAAGTAAATCCTGAATTTTATATTACAGATTAAAAAAAAGCTAGGCAGCCCAAAGGTAGAGGCTGGAATTAAGTGTGGAAAATACAATGGAGCTTTCTTTTTATCTGGAGCCTCCATGTCTAACACTCACTCTCTCTCTCTCTCTCTCTCTCTCTGTCTGTCTCTCTCTCTCTCCCTCTCTCTCTCTCTCTCTCTGTCTCTCCTCTCTCTGCTTTCTCTCTCTCTCTGTGTGTCTCTATCTCTCTCTCTCTGTCTGTCTCGCCTCTGTCTCTGTCTCTATGTCTCTCTCTTTATCTCTGTCTGTCTCTCCTCTCTGTCTCCGTCTCTGTCTCTGTCTCTCTCTGTCTCTCCTCTCCTCTCTCTGCTTTCTCTCTCTGTCTCTCTCTCTGTCTGTCTCTCCTGTCTCTCCTCTCTCTCTTCTCTCTGCTTTCTCTCTGTCTCTCCTCTCTCTCTCTCTCTCTCTCTCTGTCTGTCTCTCCTCTCTGTCTCTGTCTCTGTCTCTCTTTCTCTTTCTCTCTTTCCTATGAGGAGATAAGCATTTTGGCTTTTCTAGTCACACAGTAGAGGATGGCTGCTCTGCAGTTCCCTTTTTTTTCTTTGTATCTCTCTGACTGGTTGTTTCATGATGAGACTTCCAGATTCTAGGGCAAAGACTGAACTGGCTTGACTTTGACACACTATCCTTGGCCTAGAAAATTTTATGCAAAATAGCAAAATATATAGAATAAACATGAAAACTGAAGGCTTAATCATGGGGAGCAGGGACTGTGGGTTGTGATTCTCAGAAAAGGAGTATGGTGATGAGTAACATAACATCATGAAAAGTTTATAAAGGTTTGATCATTCAACTCAAGCACTGTAGTTTTCGGACTAGACTACTAGAAATCAAGAGCCTGGCTTTTAATGTCATCTTAGTGCTAAATACCCCCTGGCAGGCATTGCCATATATTATTTTCATGTGTTAAAGAGAAGTCAAATATTTAAAATATATGAATATATAAACACATATATAGCATTCATTTAGTTTTTTATAAGTGGCATAATGCATCATTTAAAAATTAGGTAGTTTTTTTTTCCTTGTTTCTATTTTTTTGTTTTTCACAGAGGCAAATATCGGATTATTTACATAACTCCAGAATTTTGTTCAGGTAACTTGGACCTGCTTCGGCAACTACAAGCTAATATTGGTAAGTGACAAAACAGTATCTTTATAAATACTTACTGAATTATTAACCTAAAGAGTTAAACCTATAGGTATAACTAGATTTAGCTTTTGTTAAAGTTCATTTAAAACATCTCCAAAATATCTAACTCCAAGTTGTTGCTTCTCTGCTTTATGTCATAGTTTTACCATAGAAATTGGGCTTCTTCGTTATTATTTCCTGTTTATATATTTGTTTTCTTCAGCTAGACAGTAAACTTTTTGAGAGGAAAACACCATTCTTGTTTATACTTCCCAATACAGTAATTGGCATGTAATTGATTACTTAAATATATCATTGAGTAAATATTAAATCCCATATTTTATGAAATTATAATTTACCACTTTTTCGTATTTTGAATGTAAATATAATTTATATAGTGGTTCGCTATCTTTGTTGTGCATAAGAATCACCCTTCAGTTTTTAAAGAGTGTAGCTAATTGGTGTTCAACAATAAAAATTTGGATATAATAGGCTGGGATGGGGCTTGGAATCTATAATTTTTCATAGGTGATTCTTATGTGTAGCTTGTGTTGGGAACCACAAGTCCTTTGATACAAATGAATATGACTGATTACAAATAAACACATTTCTCAATTTAGGTAATCTAAGTCAGAGCATATTTTGTAGGAAATGTAAATGTAGAATTAAAAATTACTGCCACTGTACTGGGGGATATGTAAAATTTTTAATTTAATTGTCTTTTTTAGTGGTTTCCTGAGTTATAATCATGATTTGGATCACAGATGTCCATATTCTATACCTTCAGTTGAACTAACTAAACTTAGGGTTTTCTCACATTGTATGACTTTCTTAAATAATTATATACTAAAGATAGTATAAGTTTTCTACATTGCAACATTTTACTTAATTTTGCACATAGGGAAAATAGTTAACCATTTCTCCAACAATGTAATGAAAACAAACTTGTCTTTTAATATGTGATTAAAGCACAAAAAGGAATGAGTCCGGAAATATATTTGAATAAATACATTATCTAAATAAATCCTTCAGCTGTTAAACTCAGTTACAGGTATATTTTTGCATTTAATGGAAAATGAGTTTGATATGATTCCTATTAGTTTGTGTGAAGTTTCTTTTAAACACTTCACTTCAAGTTAAGTCTAACTACCCTAGATGTAAATTTCCTGTTTTGATTGTGAAAAGTAGGATCTGTGGCCATAGTGGTCTGGGTATATTTTGTTGTATATTAAGTGTTTGTTTTGTTTTCGTGATTTTAAATGAATAGTTTAAACATTTAAGCAGATATTTAATACTTTTGATAAGCAGCATCTTAGTTACTTTTCTCGTTGCTGAAATACAATACCTGATATCTACAAGTTAAAGGAAGAAAGATTTATTTTAGCTCACGATTTGTAGAGGTTTCAGTCCATAGTTTGTTGGCTCAAAGGCAAGGCAGCATGGCAGAGGACCATGCAGAAGAGAAACAGTTCATGACAAGGTAGGCAGGAAGCAGCAAGCTTTTATTTCATGTAAACTAGAAGCCTTTTAAAAAGGTGATATCAGTCACTGACATTCAGGGTGAGCCTTCCCATTAACCACACCCAGAAAAATGCTAAGCCAATTAATATTAACTAAACAAATTTAGTTATAACATTCTTAATCCATATTCACACAACTCTTAGTATGCATTACACACCATGGATCAAGCCACCTTTGAAAAACCCCACCTATGATTACATGAGGCTTTGTGGGAACATCTAGATACTAGCCAAAGCAATCACTTACAACTTTCTGTGTTTATAAATAATGGATTGATTATGAGCACTGGAATCATTAGAGCACTGTACTTTCATTGGGATGGATAAAAAAATTTTGGTGGGGTGATTTAATGTTGAATAAGAAGGGATAAATGGAAATTACTTTTTAAATATTTTCCTTTGGCTTTTGTTTGCAAGAAATTGTACAGCACTTGCAAAAATTAATGTATTCAGGATGTTATTTTTATAGTAGTCTGACATTTGACTAATCAGGCATACAATTTTTAGGTAAATGTTAAATTATTTAAGTATTCTGGATTTATACCTAAAACAGCAAACATACTTTTATGTAGACAGTCCTTACTACCATGCTTGTAAATGTCTTTTAACTTTAGAAATTAGACTTCACAGTAGGTATGCCAAATGAAATGCATATAAGTCTTGCAAAAGCACTTGAAGTTGTACATTTAAAGTGAACATTGTTGCCTAAACTGATTTTGATAGATAAGATTAGCCTCCTCTAAGAGCTAGTTAATCAAACCTGCAACTAAGACTTTTAAAATAAAGGAAGAATCTTCATCTTTTTAAGACATATTTAATTGAAAAATCTAAGTGATTTAATTTCTGAAAAAATACCTGCATTGGTTACACTGATGTTTGTCCAGCTACTCAACAGTGGCTAGAGAATTTTGTTCCTAAGCCGTCTTCTTTGCTTATGTTTGGTAGATTTGTGTGCTTTTTTTCCTCCTCCTTGTGCTCTTAGAACTGTACTGTATGTAGTTTTAATCGTGATGAACTGCCATTGTTTACTGGGATGTCTATTTCCTCTTGTGTAATTGTGAATACTCTAAGGTCAAAGATTGTTTTAATCTGTTTATTCCTAGAAAAAAGTTTAGTTCATACTGGCCATGTGATAACTATAATAATGGTAGTAGTACAATATTTAAAAATTAAGCTCTTTTTGTGTCTGTACCAGGTACTATCTAAGCATTTTATCACAGTGATTGAAGTTAATCTTTAATAAGAAATGTTATGTACTTTTTTGATCCACATTTTACTTGTGTAGAAACTGAGATTTGGAAAACTGGTTATTTGTTTTAGACACAGTAAGTGGTAGAGGCAGGTTCCACATCCAGGTAGTCTGACTCCAGAATATATGATTTTAGTTACCCCTTTAGTGGCAGAACAATATTAATACTCAGATAAAGGGAAAAATTACTTTGTCTTATGTACTAATTTGGTTTGTCTTATGTACTAATTTGGTATGGGAGGACAAAAGCATAGTAGACATGACTGAAATATCTGAAGATATTTTAATGGATAATTGTACAATAAAACCTTTTATTAAAGTGCATTTTTACATATGGGTGATTCTATTTCAGCATATGTGTGATGTGGGGCAGAGCTGGGGGAGGAGGCAATAAATTATCTTCTTTTTGTCTACTTTGCGCATTGTGAGATTTCATTTTCTTCGTTCTATATTACGTTAGATGTAAAATGATGTAATGTCCAATGGCAATTCATCATGATTAGATGTAAGATGTAGATGTCATCGTGTAATACTGGCATTTCCAAGGTGCTTTCTGTAATACCATATGTGATCAGTCATGGATAGTGATGCATTTAATCTCTGTAGAAATGTATTGACTCTTCCTGTCTCTGTAGCTAATCTGTGAGATAGGATTGAAGGCATTATCAAAGAGAAATAGAACTTTTAAAAGACATTGTTGCAGGTGGTTCATAAGGATTGTTTTTTAAAATTTTTTTTATTATTTTGAAGGTAGGAAAATACAACAGAACAAGACAGAACAAAGCCAAGTGCAGTGAAATTGGTATAGAACATCACAGCAGATTACAAGGTTAACAGTAATAGGTACCATAGTATATCTCGTTATCTTCACAGTAGTTGTTCTTTCAATCAGGTATAGCAAAATCAAACCAAATACAGAACATTATAGAACTTACCAAAACAGAACATTGAATACAGCAATGTAATTAGTCAGAAGAAAGCAAAACAATGATAGCAATATTTTCCTTCAAAGAGATGGTAGAAGGAAATCCCCCCTATTTGCAATATGAAATATGGTCAAGCTCCCAAGAGATTGCTCAGACCTCTGGCTCCCATTTACTAACATGGTGGGGGGATGGGATGTTCGATTCTCAGCCCATGTGCTGGTAGGCTCACGGCTGATTACCAGGGGGACGAGCTGGTTGCTTGGTTTTCCAGCGCCCTAAGTTCCAACATGGCATGGATCTCGGGAGACGCTCGCTGGTTCTCTCCCTGGGGCGGCCCGCTGTTTGCTCTAGCCAGCTGTTTACGAGGGAGGCAAGCAGTTTGCTTGGGATAGTTTTAAGAAGAAAGTTCTAGTAAGCAATTTATTTCTTTGAAGAATAGTGAACACTGAAATTTAATAAATATGTTTTTGAATTAATATATAAATGATTTCTTTTTATTCTAATACCATTTATATGTATTTATCTTTCCTCGTCCCATTCCCTGTAATGCCTTTTGATGTTATACTTACACTCATATTTTAATACAAGCCAAATTGATATAGGTTATTCTGTAAGCTTTATATATTCTAAATGAAGAAAACAATATTGATCTACATGAATTTTTTCCCTCTCTGAACTTTGTCTATTTATGTTTTCAAATAGGTATTGCACTGATTGCGGTGGATGAGGCTCACTGTATTTCTGAGTGGGGGCATGACTTTAGAAGTTCATTCAGGACACTGGGCTCCCTGAAGACAGCACTCCCGTTGGTAAGCTATGCCAAGTCCAATGCTTGAAGGGTCACTTTAACAAGCAAAGCATCTGGGAGTGAGGAGTGAATGACAGCAACAAAAAACCCCCCAAAATGAAGACTTCTCTGTGAAAGGGCAAATGGATGGTGTAAGTGAGGGAGGGATTTTTCAGAATTCTAATCTTGGTTTCTAAGGTTGTCACGCAGTTTATTGAGGAATATTATAAAATAAGATTGGCAAACCTTTTCTAAAAGGACCAAATAATAGCAACAGTAATCCTACCTTACTGACCAATGATACATTTTTAAAGTCCTGGCATATGCCTAAAACTGCATATAGTAGCAAACCACATGTATGCTTTGTTTTTTCCTGTACATGCATATCTATGATAAAGTTTAACTTATAAATGTAGGTATCGTGGGAGGGTGATAAAAGTGCGTTAAAATGAAGTAGAAAAATATAACATTATGCTGTACAGCTGATGTGGCTGTAATAACATTGCCACATCACTAATCATGCTCTGTGCGGTTATTATTAAGTAAAAGAAGGCTTATCTGAACACAAGCATTGCTATACCTTAAATGTTGATCTGAAAGCTGGGATTGCTTACTAATTGGCTAACTGGTGGTAGTATATACAATGGTGGGTAGTACGTGCAACAGGAGTGCTTGCATGTCAAAGCAAGCTTCATCAAAGTAGGCAAGCAGGCATCGAAGGGCTGCTTCATTTTTGGCCGATGGAGCAGGTCAAAATAAGATAGGACAAAACATCATCACATTGCTTAGAATGTTGTGTAAAAAAACCTCGTCTTTATTTCTGGAATTTTCCTTTTAATATTTTTGGACCATGGTTACCACAACTAAAGCTTTAGAAAGGTAAACTGCAGATAAAGTGGGACTAGTGCATTATGTCTTTGTCATGTTTTTCTCTGTTTTTCTAAAACATTCTTTAGAGAGTATGCATACTGGGTGTAGTACAGCACGCCTGTAATCCCAGCAACTCAGAAAGCTGAAACAGGATCACAAATTCAAGGCCAGCCCAAGACAACTTAGTAGGACTCTATCTCAAAATTTAAAAAAAAAGACCGGGGATGTGATTCAGTGGTAGATTATTTGCCTGACATGCATGAAGCCTGGGGTTCAGTACCCAATACCACAAAACAAAACAATTAAAGAGTTTCTGTGAATTCCTCATTTGCGGGCTACAACAGGAGACGATGGGCCATATTGTCTCATGGACAATGTTTGTAGGTTGTTGCTATTGAAGTGTAGTTAGCTAAACTCGCATGTCTTCTCAGTGATGTTCCATCTCTGTGTCCTTTTACTATAGGATATAGTAAAGCATGATTTTCCCATCTTGAATCAAGTTGAGAACGTAACGTGGAGGCATTCCACGTTGAATTTTTAGAAAAGCTTTTAGTGTTAGATTACCACTTTCTTCCTGAATATAAAGCATTGTAACATTTTTATGTGAACACTTTACACCAAATGACGTATTTTATAGGAATGCCTTGAAAATCACAATACTGCCAATATTTTATTTGTAAAAATTACAAATTGTCAGCAACTCATAGACAAACAAATAAAAAAATCATGTAGAGTTGTTGTAGGTACCTGTCATCTATTTTCCCAAATAATAATTCCATTCCTGACTGTTGTACAATACCAAATTTAGGAATATGACATTTGTACATTGGTCAAAGTTGATTCATGTTACACCATTAAATCAATATTGTACCTATATGAATATTTTTCTAAAAGCCTTTTCTCATGTAGATTTGGCTTTGCAGTCTAGATACAGAACTATTGTTACCACAAACTGTCTGGAGCTGTCCTTCTGTAGGCATACCACAGTCCTCCCTACCCTCAACCTTAGCCTTTGTCCAGCTTGTCGCCTAATCTGGTTTCCATCTGACTTTTTCTTTTTAAAAATGCTATAGAAATGAAATCAGACAGTTTGCTAACTTTTGGCATGATTTTTTTTTCACTTAGCCTAAATCTTTCTGAGTTGTTATCTATCTATTTTTGTCAGCAATTACATGATTTTTAAAAAAAATTTTTTTTTAATTTTAAAGACAGTAAAATCCAACAAAACAAAACAGAACAAGGCCAATCAAAACAAAGCAGCAAAATTGGTACAGAACTTCAAAGCAGGATACTAGCAAAACAATAGTAACTACAGTAGTATATTTTGTTATCTTCACAGTAGTTGTCCATTCCACCACGTATTGCAAAATCAAACCAAAAACAAAACACTGTAAAACCAATCAAAACAGAATGTTGAATAAAGCAAAACAATCAGAACAAAGCAAATCAGTGAGAACAATATTGAATTTCAAAGACAAGATAGAAGGAAATCCCCCATATTTGCTATATTGCATAGTGTCATCCTTCCAAGACATGCTCAGACCACTGGCCCCAGGCCTGCATAATCAACCAGACAATATAAGCATTTACTTGCTTTATGTGCGTTAGTTGCTTTCAACTCAACTTGGCCTCCTATCCTGTGGGTTGCTCGTGGCAAGGGTAGGAGTGGGGTGGTGGGATGGGTGCCGCGGGATGCGGGTAGGTAGGGTGGAGTGTTTGATTCCCAGCTCGCACACCAGTAGGCTCAGGGGAGACAGTGACTTTTCTCTTTCTAGAAGCCGCCTGGCTTTTCAGGCTTACTGGAAAAGGCTGGTTACTGGCTTCTTGTTGGATCCTCCCAGTCTCAGCATGGCTGATTCTTGGGGGGACGCTGACTTTTTTTTTCAGAGTTGTTATATGTTTCAAAAATTCTTATTGCTGTCATTAATTCACGGTATCATTTGCCTGTTTTAACCGATTACCTGTTGAATAACTTTGGGTTGTTTTCCAGATTTTGACCGTTATGAATAAAGATGCTGTGAACATTTGCATCTACTCAAAAGTCAATGGTTAAACAATCTGTGAACTTTTTTTTTTTACTAGCACCTGTTACAATACATCAAGTTTGCAGTCATGTTGGAGAATGAGTATTTGTACATAACACGGTTTAATTTTTTTTTCAAATCTTTCTTGCCTCTCTCCCTCCTCTGAATTCCCTTTCCTCGTTTTTGCTCTTGGTGATGTTATTAATCTTATCTCATATTTCTGACATAAAATGCTTACATTCATTGAGGTGCTTAGGTTCTTGTACACGGCATGTCATTATTCTACTTTTCCCCCCTCCTCTCCCTTTCCGCTCCCTTCAGTCCCCAGGAGCCCTTTTCATTTGTAAGAGACCTCCATGCCCTTGTCTCCTTCTACCCATCCTTTATTTTGTACTCTTTGTTCCCTGTGGACTTCTTTATTTCTCTGTTTTTGCCCAGGAATGCAGTTGCTGGGCCTATGGTAAGTCAGCTTATTTGTTCATCTATCCATCCCTCCCTCCTAATTCCCTTTGTTCATTCTTCCCTTCATTCCTTCTTTCGTTCCATCCTTCATCTGCCTCCCATGCAGCCTCCTTCGCTTTCTGTCTTTTGCAGGGCTATGTGTTGAATCCAGGGCTTTACACATGGCAGGTTCTGTTTTTTAAGGAGCTGCCATACTGTTTCCAGAGCAGCTGTGGCATTGCACATTCCCATTAGTAGCGTACGAGCAACCCAGGTTCTCCCTGCTCACCCTTGTGCTCGCTGTGGCAGCACAGACTCAGTTCCCCTCATCCCAGCCGTGGTCCTGTGTTAGCGGTGTTTTTAATTTTAGCCACTTTGATAAATGTCTTTGATTTGCATTTCTCTAGTAAGGAATGAAGTTGGATATATTGTCTTGTATTAATTTGCCTTTGCTAAATTGTTTAACTTAATTAGATTGTGTTTAAATATTTTTTGTCAGGGGCTGGGGATTTAGCTCAGCAGCATAAGCACCTGCCTTACAAGCAGGCGGTTGTGAGTTCGATCCCCGGTACCGATAAAAAGGAAAAAGACAAAAAAAAATTTTTTTGTCAAGTATTAAAAATATATATTATAAATATGAGCCAAGTATTTCCTCACAGGTTTTACTTGTCATTTCATCATTTTCACAGAGCTGCTCTTGTATAACAAGCATCTTAACTTTGATAAAATCCAGTTTATCAATTTTTCTTTATGAATTGTGCTCCCTTAGCTTCATGGTAATCTACCTGTGGCAAGCATGCTGCAATAGGCTGTTTATATTATTCAAAGTTCTAGAAGCTTTCATGGCCTTTATGCTAGATCTTGAAGGCTTTCTCCTATTTTTTCCTAAAATTTTTAGTTTTACATTTAGGCCTGTGATCCATTTTGAATTCAGTCTTGTATAAGGCTTAGGTCAGAGTTCATCATTTTACCCACAGATGTCTAATTGCTCTGGTCTATTTGTTGAATAGTCATCCTTCCTTGAATCATTTTTTTGTCCTTTTGTTGATAATTAGTCATTTGGACATATTCATATGGGCCTATTTCTGGGTTCTTTAGTTTGCTGTATTAATTTTGAGTGAACAAACAGAGTTGGCTTATGTTTAGATATTCCTGGTAGTAGTGCCTTGGGAGCCCAAGATTTCACAGTTGAATGAGTGAACTAAGAAACACAGTGGACTTTGTTACTTGTTTGTAAGTTGCTAAGTCAGTTTTATTGTTTACTAAACTTGCTTATTGATAACAAATTGAGAGCCATCTTAAATATACTGTCTTTTTGGTAGTTTTTCTCATAAACAGTTTTGTTGGGACAGATACTAAACAAGCAAAACAGACTAACAGAAACAGAAATGTACCATTTAGCGAGTATAAATTGAGGAACACTCAAACTACTGTAGATTGAACTCTCTGGTACTAGCACTAGGTTAAGTGCCTCCTAACAATTCAGCAAGGTGGTTACTAATGTTTTCTTAACCTTTCCCTGTAAGGTCCTTAACTTTCACAGAAAAGCACGCTCTTCTGGCTTGCTTTCTTCTTCACTGTATCCTTATTCTCCTCTGTTTCACTTCATTTCCTGGCATTTTATTGTTGGTGTGTCTCAAATCTTAGTCCTTGGCCCTGTTCTCTTTCCTATACTTTTACTCCTTTG